CTTAGCCAGATTGTTCAATTGTCAGGAATTCTGGGAGTTGGAGCTGGAGGGCTGCCGTTTGAGGATGCCTGCCGTAGTTTGAAGCCATTCCTCTATTGCGTCCTAGTCTCCAGGATAGCAGAAAGGAAGCTGTCTAGGATTCTATGAATCGATGACTGCAGCGAAGGGGGAAATCTAGTGAGTTAACTGAGTGCAAATTAGTTTCTGCACTTTGTACTTAATTTGGAAGAGTTGAAATAAGATGAGGAGAAAACTGGGACATTGAATTGACACTAGAGAGCATACGAAGCATAACTGAAGTCATACTGTCTTGGAGCTATCTGGGTTGATGTGCTGCTATCCCCAATCAGGATATACGTAGATTTCAAACCGAACCGTAATGACAAACACGAATAATCATCCGTTCCCGGATTTGCAAGGGTTTCGGGGGACACGCTATAAATAAGTCCTCTGATTGAAGCAGCTGCTTTTATTTTGTGCCTGTTTACAGCTGCTTGCATGTGGCAAATGAGTCAGATGATCTGCTCACTCCAAGATGGGATTTCTAAATGTCATCTCTGAGCAGGTTTCAGGCAGCCTGCAGTGGCATGCTGGGCTCCAGCTCGGTGACTCAGTCAGGAAATCCTCAGGTCTCCACGAGACGATGACGATGAGAGGGGCAGAAAAACAACAACACCCAATGTCAAGGGCCCGTTTCCAAGGACAGCCTGTGTTTTATAGAGTAGTAAAGGCACTCCATGCAGTCATGCCGGCCACATGAACTTAGAGGTGTCCACGGACAACGCCGGCTCTTCGGATTAGAAATGGAGATGAGCACCAACCCGCAGAGTCAAACACGACTGGACTTAATGTCAAGGGGAAAACCTTTACCTTTATCTATTGGAAAAGAAAGTGATTCGGAGCAGGGCCAGAGCAAAGGGTCACCAACCTTGCCCCATGGCACAACCAAGTTGTGGTCCCCTCTTCTTCTACTGCATGTGCAAAGATCAATATGGGGACTGAATGCAGAAATATGGCTACTATGCTGGCATGGCTGTGCCGGGAGATTTAAATTTCTTTTCTTGCACTGTTCGTCCCCCTAGGGGTGAGAAAAGCGGTATAGAAATACTGTAAATAAATAAATAAATAAATAAATAATAGTTTGCATGAATTTATTTAAGTCATGCTTTTTGCAATTGGGTAGCTTTCCCCAGGTTGCAATCATAGGGCCAATAATCTATCAATCATCATTAGAGCCTTTACAGGTTTTGGAGGGAAAGGGGGACTTTCAGTTCAGTCTCACAGTTTGGAGCCCTACAGTAGGACATGTGGGCTTCACTTCTTACAGCTCTGCTGGGGTTAAAGAAATAGATCTACAGCCAGCCTTTGCTGGAGTCAAAGATATAGATATACAGCCAGCTTTTGCTGGGGAACAAGGAAAACCTTTACAGCTTTGCTGGAGAGTAAAGTTACAGTTCCACAGCCTTCGTGGAGATACTAAAAGGACACCAGTTTGGCAGATCTGCAGCAACCATTGCCTGGTAAGGGACCACTCGGGCTATCCATAACGCAGCTT